GTAATTATATGGATGTAAAACAAGTGAGAGAGGTGTGTTAGGATCCTGTCAAATGGAAGGTTTCTTTTTTTATAAGTGGCTTTACGGCTCTGGGTTCTAGCTCTTCTCAGCCTGAAGTTACAATGTATAATTATCCTTTATAGTTTACTGCTTCACAATATGTTGATGCGTCACATTGTGTAGCCCTTAGGAGATATTGACGACAACTTGAGCCAGCAGACAGCTGATAGTTGGCGATGGTATCTCAAAGCGCCTAAGCAACCAAACATTTTATTTTGAGAATCACATCACCATCAGAGCACTTGTTTCACCGTTTTCACTAATGGTTCACATACGCAGACACTTAATACACAAAATCGCAACACGTTTACATATCAAAATTTACTTTAAACTATTATTTAAACGATAGTACAGGAGCTGCAAACCGCCGCCGGTCAAGTTCCCACCAAAACTGTCAAATGGAAGTTTTCTGGGTGATAGACTACAGTTTATTTATATATGTATGTTATACATGTTTACCAACATTACATAGCCAATTTAAGTTACTGTTTCTCTTGGTGGATCTTTATTATTATTATTAAAATAATCGTTGATGAACAAACTCACAGTTGGGCACAGGTAGATTTTAGTTCTGTAATACTACGAAATATATAAATTGCCTAGCTTACATTTGTAAGCCTGAAATGTCTTGGTTTTTTTAATATATTCCTGTATAACATCCACTAAAGAAAAGCTCAAGGGGAAAATGCTTCATGCAAACGAATCCTTATATTTTGGACTAACACCTAACTTGCCTACTTCTAAAACATACCTTGCGCTTTCGCTTAAGGCATGCAATATAAATCCAAAGTTGATGTGTTGTTTACATTACAGTGAAAGCTTTGGGCGAATATTTGGGAATTGTACTCTTGTGTTGGATGGAAGCTTGGACAATTGGTTATATAATTTTTTTTGCGAACCATACTTGACTATATCTTGTTGTAGTGATGTGTATAGTCAGCATATTAAATTTGGAATATAGCAATTTGTTTTTCGGTGGTACAATTTAAAACATACTGTACTTTAAGATGTAAATTGATTTAGGTAAATAATGTACTTAGCGTTATTTTATACTAAGTGGATTGAGATAGGGAGTGCGCGGGAACGTGGGAGAGTTGTGTATCGTATTTCCTATAACTGTTTACATAATATGCACTTGGTTAATGTAACTTATTAATTGCCTTAGGATAAAGATGCATATTTTATAAATATTGTATTAAATAAATATTTGTTTCAAACTTATTGGTTATATTCTTTAATACAATTATTAATAATGACGAGATGGTGTTTAAGAATATCCCCTTAGCATCTCGTATGGGTGTCGTAACAGGCCACAGAGGGAAACTGAAACAGAAAATGGGCAGCAGCATAGTCCTGATAACAAATGAAAATATATTAAAAATTTGCGGTTGTCAGCCTGTCTGACGTGGCAACTATGGCAAATATCCTCCATAAGTCCACAGTTTAACATTCTGTTAAACTGTGGACTTTTGTGAGGCTTTAATGGAAAACATCTTGCGGTAAGCTTATGGATTCTGGTCGCCTCCGGAATGCTTTGACTACTTAGGGAGCCTCAGGGACGCCGAGGCAAGTACAGGGACCGTCCTTTGAATTTGTTTCCAATTTTAATTTGGCCAAATTTACAGCCTTATTAATAAACGTAGACTTGAGCAAAATTAACTTTACTCCTAGTTTAAAGTTTAAAATAACTAATTTCAGTATATAAACATAGAGTAAGGAGGGAGTAAACTAATCCGAATCCACTCTCGGAATAAAAGTTAATCCTTGGCGTTACATAGTTTAACGACGGAGTAAGATTAGGCGCGTATTTTGACATTTTGTAAAACTTTACGCACGTTGTAGCTGCCTAAGTTCGTATTTCATTATTTCCATTAATATTTGTTACTTTAGTTCATTGTCAACAACCTCAAGATGGATAGAGATTATTTCATTGATGATGTGAGAGTAATAGATGATATTAATGTTATTCAGATTCCATTAATGAGACGTATAAAATTCGTAAGAATCCACTGGCAGAACTTCAAGAAGCCGAATTTAAAATTAAATACAAATATTACGATTAGCTATCACTTTCACTATATGTAACTGCGAATATCAGTTACCACTTTTTTCGTCTAGCTAACACTTTTCACAATATGTAACTGCGAATTTTCAGTTACCACTTTTTTCGGCTAGCTAACACTTTTTCACTATATACAACTGCGAATTTTCAGTTACGACCTTTTTCGGCTAGCTAACACTTTCACTAATTCACCATCACTGTTCACTATGTTCTGCTACTAGTCACTTCAGCTACTACCGGATACTACTGCCTGTCACTGGTAGTTCTTCCTACTACAACGTTGCTGGGTTTTGCGCCCATAAGGTAGACTTCGGCTATACTGTATAGTGAGCCGCTTGCCATTTCCCGTTTTGCCTCTTTATTTTAAAACATTTTCACTATGTAATTGGCACAAATTGCAATATTTTCTATACAACACTAATTTTTACACTAACATGCTATACATTATTAAATCGGCATTTTGGTCCTTTATCAGTTTATTATCAAAACGACATTCTATACAAATATATTAAGAGTTGTAAACACACTGTAAAACTATATTAACAAACTATTTACTCGATTTTGTTGGTAATTTCAATTTTTATACAAAATATTCTTTCATCACTTTGTTTCTTAAAGTTGTTAGGCCGTCGCGAACATCTCTCCCGCCGTGCAGCGTCGCGAAGATCTCATCGCAGCGGCGCTGCATCCATTCCGGTGAGCGACGTTGCTTCTACTTCGGCAGCGGCACGAGTTTCCTGGTTGGTCTCTTGATTAGGCCGTTTGCGGTGCGTACCTCCACAGTGCGGATCTGTCCGTCCGCACCGGGGAAAATTGCTTCAATCCTTCCTCGTGGCCAGGTGTTACGAGGTATCTGGCCGTCAGCTATGAGGATTCGTCCATGAGCCTCCCGCCGGTTTTGAATTTCCGGTGGCCCAATGTAGCCCAGACCGGTGAAGGTGAACGGTCTCCCGTGATGAGCGAGACGTGTACTGGGATGATCACCGGTGGCTGGCGCTAGTGGTTGCGCCTTTTTAATCCGAAACTTTATGCATTGACTCACTATCTTTTTCGTGGTGGGTCGAAGTCGGATCATCCAGTAGTGCTGTCCAATGGTAGATTCGGTTCCACAATGATGCTGGCTACGATGCATCCAGTCGATGTATAGTTGAGTGACGTAATGAGCACCATCCAATATAGCTGGCCCCTTCATGTCTTCTGTGACTCCCTTCACGGCGGTTATGCGACTTCGTAGAGCGATGATCCCGTCTTTCAATTCTATTTGGAGCGGTCGTAGGCGGCTATCAAGGGCGACCTTAGAAATAGCCGATCTCCGTAACAATAGTTATGGAGATCGGCTATTTCTTGTTTGAAGGAGTCCTTTTGGATGACACGTGTTAGGAGCTTTTCGGCCTCTCTGATGAATTCGGCCTCGAGTGTGATGTATTTTTTGACATCTCTATTCTTCACTTGACTGGAAGGCTGCGCGAGGTGTCGCGGATTATTTCTCGATTTCCTCCAGTCGGGATCTTCCTCTTTACTCCTTTTGGTCCTTTTGTAAAAGGTTCTGTCTGTGGTTTTGCGGCAGAGTGTTATAAACTGAAGCACTCTGGCCGTAGCTTGCAATAAGCGTTCCCATTTTGAAAACTTTACTGGATCGGGAACGGCTCCTCTGAATAGCGGAGCTCTATGCGATTCTGTAACGGTGAGGGATCTTTCCTTACCGGTAGGTTCGGATAACGTGGGTTTTTTGGTCGGCCATGCTGACGGTTCTTTATAAAGAAACGGACACGAAAAATAGAAAAACATACGTGAGTGTCGTGGAACATTTGGTTTGAACGAAGTTCCTTTCGTAGTATATTATTATTTATATATGTATTATATTATTGATTAACAAATACAAATAAATAAATTATGTACTAGCGTCTATTAAAATGAAGCGTCATTTAAAATAAAATAATATTTCTTTCATGGAAAGATAAGAAAAAGTGCGAGGGAGATGGATATTATTCCATCTCGCTACCATAAAGCCGCCAAGACCGTCTACACTACGTTAGAAGAGATGGTGACGGAAAAATCTTAACTTTTTCTTGCCTAGCCCGCCATCCGCCAAAATCGTTCCGTCCGACAAGGAACTTCGTTCCAATATTTTAAAAGACAAGATTTTATTTACTTTTTTGTCACTTCCATGACTGACTTAACATTCCCAAAATTCTATTTAGAGAAGCCATAAAGTAAAAAAGAAGTACATACATAGATTGATTATAAATTATTATTTAAACAAAGAGATCCTCTGAGTTTGTTGCTGGTTCTTTCTAGTAGGACAAAGAGGTTTCTTTCCGAACCAGTGGTAAAAGCATAAATAACTTTCAACAAGTATTTTCTATGTTGAATAAAAATTATTTTATTCTATTGTTGATAAATAGGATTGCCGGAACAAAATTTATGATAGTGTGATAATTTTAACGGGTGCCGAATGACCATTCGCACACCCGAATGATCATTCGGCACCCGTTAAAATTATTCTGCCAGAAATTTTCTAACAATGTAAAATACGACCTAAAAACAAAGCGAAAATAAAACAAAATTAAATAGAATATGTCTTTATTTACATAAATATATTGTCGAGGTGACTGTTACAGTAAAATAGCAAAAGAATGTGGGCGCTTCAAAGTAACATTCATCAGTGACAGGACAATATCCGACAACAATTTATAACTCTCTTGTAACGTGACTTACTAGCAACACCAGTCTTGTAAAACTAAATAATTAGAATAATTAGTTTATTACATCTTTTATTTGCCACCGAATGTTAACTAAATACATATTTGTAATATATTATTACATATATATTGTATCGATAATACAACAATAAATAGAAGTCAACAGCCTAGCCAGCCTAGAATTCATCGTTTTCGAAGGGATGGTCCTTGTGGCCCAGCGATCTGAAACAAATTATATATTATGTAATAATAATTAATTTTACATTACATACTGACAAAAAGCTAGATGTCATACAGGGGAGACCTCTCCTTAAGGTGGAAGCTCCAGGGTGGCGCGCGAAATTCAAATTTTCTTGCGTTTTTTGGAATTTGCATGCAGGGTTAGGTTGTATATTTCACAAAATATGATTCGCGACCGTAGCGATTATGTGTTTACAGAATTATTATCATTAAAATCACCAATACAACCCTGTAAGTTCATATTCGCCCATTGTATGGCTATTTCCAGAAAAACTCATTCATCTTCGATTACGAATCAAATTGCAGATGCGTTGTCACCCATGAGGACTAAGATGGAATGCTCTATGGAATCTAGGAATAGATGAAAGGACTCGTTTCCAGTAAAAAGGGTCTCCGGTTCTCTACACTCACCATACGAAACACAGCAGCGTTAAGCTACTATTTGACACTGGTATTCTGTGAGAGCGTGGTCCTTCCCCGATCGAGCGGACCCATTCGTGCTACAACTAATATAGTAATATAGCTGCAGCATAGCTCTAGCCACGTACAATAAAAATAAATAATAAAAATAACAAAAAATATATAAATAATATCGGCTCGGACTCGTAATTAATTAGTAATTATAGTAATAATATATATATATATATAGAACTCCTTAATCATGGTAAGATAACATGGAAAACGGGTCGAATTCCTATGCAAGTATTTTCAGACTTGATTTAAGTAATAGGAATTATGTTTACATTCGAGGAAGTGAAAGTTTTGTTTCGATTTTTTGTAAAATCAGTTGTTATTGTGAACTGATTACGTAACTTACTAAGCGTGACATAATTTTTAAATAGTTATTTCAATTTTAAAACGTCTACTAATTAGTGTCGTACGTAAATAAATAAAACTGATTATTATTGTGTTTATAAGTTGGAAGTGACGACTTTTAAACTGTATATTATTATACATAGTGTGTAAATAGTGATTTTGGTGTAAAGATCATAGGTTCTTGTTGTTAATAGTAAATAGATATATAATACTAAGAAAAGTTTGGCGTGGGATCATTTTATGGACAAAGGAGAAAGTAAAGCCTAATGCAAGATGTGCAAAGTAATTATATCTTACAAATCTGGAGTGTCAAACCTTACCAAACATGTACAGAGAAAACATATTTCTGTTAATTTAGTGAGAAGGGAGCAAGAAGTGGAGCGTCAAGAGGTAACGGCGCATGCTTCACAAAGTACACAATTTACGACATCCAATACTCCATTGTAAACTGACGCAACACCTAGTACGATAAGGTCCAATACAGCCACTATGCCCACTATCTCAGCATTCCTTCAACGCGATTGTCAAAAAATAAAAAAGCAAATTGATGATCATTTGATGAATTTGTTCAGCAGTTGAAGCAGCCATTTTCTAGTGCTTTAAACATATTAGTAAATTATAACTTTGTCAAAATCAAATAGTTTTACATTGAATTTAATTTAGTTTGAACAATTTTATTGTTTTTGTTTAAAAGAAATCGCACTGAAGTAGTGTGACCATATTGACGATGTATCTGAGACTTTCCGTGTGACCTTAACTAATTATATGTACATGTTTCTTATTATGTTACCGGAAATGCATGAAATTTAGGAATTATGTACAATTCCTATGTATTCTATATAATGACGGATTTCATAGATTTCATAATATTAAATTAAACATTAGTAACACAATATATTCTTTTGGCAGACAATTTATTTTTACTTAGTTTTTGTTTCTCATTATTTTGATACTTAAATAACGTTTACATTAATTACGAATATTTTTTTTCGATTTCCTAAAACAGTACTCGGAGAAATTTGTTGTTATCCATTGTACCATTGAAAATGAAGTATTATGAAAGTGCAAGGATTTGCATTTTACAAGAATCAGATTATGATTCAACAACAAGGTGCTTAAAATCAACAGCAGTTCCTACGGTTATAAGAAATCAAGAAACAGTATCACCAGGCAAGGTAAAAATTTAATATAATTTAATTATCTATTTTTCGTAATATATTATGTATTTAGAAATGTAGTAGTTTAAATGTATGATATAAAGCAACATTTTGTAAAATATGTTATCATTTGCAGACAACAAGTGCATTACATGAAGAGTCTATTGTGCAAATACCTGCTCTGGCTGTAGCTGTACCAAGCACTAGTTCTGGAATTAATGAAAGTAGTTCTGCACTTAAGGAAACAGAAGTGAAATTTACTGGCTGTAATATTGAAGACCAAACTAATAAAAAACAATGTCGAAAAATTCTTGAAAATTTATGCAACCTGAACAAGTTACCTGTAAGTTTCCTTTTCCTTTATTACTAAATACATACCTTTTATTTGTATTTATTATGACTAATATTACATTACATAATGTATTATATAGCTTAAAACACATACATATTTAAACTCTTTAGTGCCAGTCGCAGTGTGGTAACCGTCACTACGACACTAAGCATGAAGCTTCTTGTTTGATGCTTCATTTATGTGTGCTCATGAAGGCGCGCTCCGGTGTATTATGTGTTACCTATTAAGTGATATAAATTTGTACTGACATTATGACGTAGAAGAGTTATTTGTTTCTTTTTTTTTGTTTATTCTCTAATCTCTGGAACCATACCAGTCAGATTTGAAAATATTTTTTGCATTTTTAAAACCAATTCCTCAGGAAGGCTGTCTAACATCACGCTACGACCCTAATGAGTGGACCAATACTATGTACGTTGCTAAAAATACTGATTTCATAAAGTTTTCTTGTTTTTTAGGTCAGCAGTGAATACGACGACGTGCAAGTGAAAATAAAGTGTACTAAAGAAGAAATACTTGAGACGAAAACTAAGATTCTTAAACAAAAAGTGGCGCGCCAAACTAAAAAAATTCAGGATAGGTCTTCTTTAATGGCAACTATTAAAAAGTGTACGGGTCAGTCAGAAATTCAGAATATTTATTCAAGGGTGCTTTGCTGATATCTGTAAGGACAGAGTTATCCACATGATGTGTAAAATTTCAATAAATAATTTTAATATGGAAAGTATTTTTATTTATTTTTTAAGGTTTTTTATATATTATCGTTCCTATTATAGTACATATGTTACTAGAAATCTATGAAATTCGTAATTATATAGAATTCCTAGGAATTCTAAATAATTCGTAAAATGAACAGGGTGTGTAGAATATAGTATTATACACATTTCAGATCAGAGCAGCGTGACTCGGATGGGTTAGGTCAGAAGGCTAAGGTAGGAGCTCCGCTACGCTCCTTTAGTCCTCGTGATATTTTTCTAAAATAATTGTCCAGAAATAGATTTAGTCTGTCTAAACAATAAATCAGGTATATTTTGCCCAATTCATTGATCACTCGGGTTGTTATAATAAATTAATTTTATATTTCGTTGGTACCGTTTAGGTATTGTATACCATGTATCAGGTATTGTATGCCATTGTAATAACCAGAAAATACATTATCGAAATGGTAGTAATAAAATATTTTCTGATATATTTATTTTCCACATTTTTTAAATAGGCTCGACATTATATGGGTTGTAACGGAAATGCTTGGTCAAATTTTAGATACCTGTTCTGCCCATGGAAATGAAAACCTTTCTTCATAAAACCAATTTCCCAAAAAAAATGAACAAATATATATAATCTATATAGGCTAGGTCTTAGTAGAAAACAGAGATGTAAATATTTATAAATAAACCACTTAATGTAATGTAACTACTTATAGCGATATCCTGGGAAAAATTAAAGGTTACCTACTTAGAAAGAGAGGGTCTACCCACAGAGAGCGAGATAGTAATACATAGGTTGAGCTTTAAGTAGGTATTCGGAGTGTGGTCTCCATCTTTATCTATAACTTCATGGTCTCTATTCTAGTCTTGGGTAGTTCGCGAACGACCTAGGTAGGAAGAGCGCTCTTTTAGGTGAACTATGCGAACTAGTTCGTCGACAATCTCGCTCTTAGTTCTTTAAATATTTATTTTTCTGACGTCCTTATGGAGTAGCGCTGCATGGCTAACCGACTGATTTATTTTTACTCTTACTGTTATTACCAGAGTTTCTTATTAAAGTGTATAATTTATAGTCTATAGTAAAAGTTTTATTAGAGCACAATTCACAACAAATAACAAATTTTGTTCTCAATTCGACTTTATGATAAGTTTATTCAAAATTGAAATTTTACTTTTCTATTTCTACTAATTTTAATAAATAATCGAATACAGTGCAACCTCGATATAACGAAACTGAATGGAAATAGAAAGTGTTCGTTATTATACCAAGTAATTCGTTATAATAAGGTTTGTTATATAGAGGTTAGGTGGAATTACGATTCGTTTTAACAAGGTAAGAAAACTTGTTTATTAAACTCAACATTACGTAAATAGTCATCTGCCTGTCATGTACGTATCTGAACCTGTCAGGACATGATTTAGCCATCAAAAACATAACTTGTAAAAGAAAACCAAGTCTCGCAACTCAGTTCTTCTACCGTAAAAAGTTGTGAGATCCATGTAATTCCAAGTCGGTAAATTTATTCAGTCCCTAATTAAGGGGCCTTCTATCTTAAGTTATTACGTAATTAGCTAACCTAACAACATCTCATAGTGACGATATCAATATTAAAAATCTTTTATGTTTTAAATAAATAGATTGACTTGGCCATCGCATGAAAACGCAATGTATCTCTCAAGTAATACATATTATATTAAATTATATTATTTAGTGCGATTGCCAAGTCAATTTATTTATTTAAAACATAAAACGATTTTTAATATTGATATGGTCACTATAAGATGATGTTAGTTTAGCTAATTACGTAATAACTTAAGAGAGAAGGACCCTTAAGGGGCTACTCCATGCGAACGACCTTGAGCATTTGCCGGCGACACGCCGCTCGCTCGCTTCAATATATTGCTTATTTAAGACGCCACCTATTATGTAGTATTATTTTTTCAACATCA